TCCTAAAATGTGTGTGTGTGCATGTGTGTGTGTGTGTGTGTGTGTGTGCACAAACCATTTACACTTTTAGTAAGCAAAGAAGGAAATAGGAAATGTTCTGAGCTCCTGATTAAAAATAATTTATATGGAAAGGCTGGAGTGGAGGTAGATTCCTTGACTAGGATACATGAGTACCTAAACTCAATCCTTAGCTCTGAAAAGAAAACTATTATATGGAAATGCAAAAGGCCAAAACTTACCAAGACAACCTTGAAAATTAACAATAATATATACTAGCAAATGCCAAGTTGTATTATAAAACTACATTAATTGTGAAATTATACAAGGACATTGGTGTAAGGATAAATGAATACAAAGTCCAAAAATTTGAAATTCATCACAAAGGTGACATGGTAGTGTGGTACTGATCTCAGAATGGTACTGGGTCAATTGGGCAGCCATACAGGAGAAAAATTAAATCATGATCCTTTACAAAACTAAATTGCAAGTAAATTGCAAATCTAGATATGAAAAACAAAATAATAAATATTCTAGGATGTAAGGTATATAATATTCATAACATTATAACATGTGAAACTTTAAGTGAATAAAATAAAATAAAGGAAAACATTAATAAAATTTCCCTTTATCAAGTGATAGCGTTTGTCTGGGCATAATGATACATGTGTAATCCCAGCACTCAGGAAGCTGAGACAGGATGGTAGCAAGTTGGAGTTCCAGGTCAGTCTTGACTACATAGTGAAACCCTGTCCCAAAAAAACAAAGAGAGGGCTTTCTTTACCAAGAGACTTTATTGTATAAGTGAAAAATTAAGATATATAACCTAATATCAATACTTGATTAAATATTATATAAATACTACTCGTGTCCTCAAGATTTAATACTATGCTTTATGGAACATCAGTGTTTACTTTTCTTTGTTTACTATGTACAGGAAGGCAATGCATACTTTGCATAGGAGGATTGTTCAGAAGGTTTTATAATACTCAAATGTACTAATCAGCATATTTATTATAATATTTCCTGATAAAAAAATGATATATATGAGAACTTCAATTTCTGACTCAGAATTTTTGGTCTAAACCACTTTTTTACAAACTATATAATTTTCAAAACTTACAATATATTGCACCCTGTCTTGTGGTGTTCTAGAACCCTTCATAGTGCACTTGTAACATAATTATGAGTATCCTAACCTCTCCTAGTTCAGTTTATGTGCCATCCCAGAAACATTTAACTCCACCCCCCAATCCTACCTGTGGTTAACTGCCTTATTTTCTGGCCAGAAGAAATGAGCAGATTCAGGGCTCAGTGGTTAAGAGCACTGGCTGCTCTTGCAGAGGACCTGGATTCAGTTCCCAGCACCCACAATGGCAGCTAACCACCATCGGTAACTCCAGTTCCAAGGGATCTCACACCTTCTTCTGACCTCGGTGGGCACTGCATGCCACGGGTGCACTTACACACATGCAGGCAATACACTCATACACATAAAATAAAAATAAAAAATAGAGCAGATTTATTCAGTTTGTACATTCATAGAGCACAAAGCCACCCTGACTCCAGCTAGAGCTTGAGCACTCACCTAGCATAGTATCACCTGAAAAGAAAAGGCTAATTGAGACACAAACTAGCAAGATCTCACCCATGGGAGTACAAGGGAGACCAGCTGTTAATGAAAGCTGACATAGGCCTGTGAATGTGGCTCAGTGGTAGAGTGCTATTCTGCCATATGAAAGGCCCTGAGTTTGCTCTCTCCCCTCTCTCTCTCTCTCTCTCTCTCTCTCTCTCTCTCTCTCTCTCTCTCACAATTTTTCCCACTCCTTCCACATAGAATGCTCTTAAAACCATAATTTAATCAACTGTGTTTTGCTGAAAAGTAATGACTAGATAGTAACTATTTGTGTTTGCTCTCCACCTTTCTCTGCCTTAGTTCCCTTTTCTCTTCACTTTTTTAATTTTTATTTTATGTGTATGAGTGTTTTGTCTACAGATATAGAAGTGCACCCATATTGTGCAATACCCACGGAGGCCAGAAGAGGGCATCGGATTCCCTTGAACTGGAGTTATGGGCGATTGTGTTCTTAACTGCTGAGCCACCTCTCCAGCCCCTTTTCTCTTCGGTTTTGTTTCCTCATATTGCACATCCCAATAAGGTGTCACCAGATAAGACTTTGTTCTTATCTGTATTTTCTAGTCCTGATCTAAGAAACCACAGAGAGTATAAATTTTTAATTAAATGAGCTCTGTAGTATAGGGTAGGATGTAACCATGCCTTAAAAGTAGCAAACAAGCTGGATATGGTAGTGCATGCCATTAATCCCAGCACTAGGGAGGCAAAGGCAGGCAGATCTCTGTGGGATCAAGACCAGCCTGGTCTACATAGTGAATTCCAGTCCAGCTGGGGTGACAGGGAGACCCTGCCTCAACACAACAAAACAAGTAACAAATATAAAAAATAATATTTCTATTTATGGAATAGAATAACATGTTATAAATAGCCAAAGCCTGATGATATATAAAAAGCCCCTCCATGAAGTACGCCCTTTGTCTAGGAAGATGTATTGAGTGTAGATGTCTACATAGTAACATACAAGATTGGATATAACTGAGGTTGAAAATATTTTTTCCAATTTTATTTTTTATAGTTTATGTATATAAGTATTTTGCCTGCATATAAGTATACCACAAGTGTGCATTGCCCATGGACGCCAGAACAGGATGTTGACCCTGGAGACCACAGTTAGCCTCCATGTGGGTGCTGAAACCTGAACCCAGGTCCTCTGCAAGAACAGCAAGTGCTCTTAACTGCTGAGCCATTTCTCCAGCCCATAACAGAGATTTTAAATGAAAACATTAAAATGTTTATTAAAAAAATAATGTTTTTACAACCTAGGGATTTTTCAGCATGACCAAAAACCTAGAAGCCATAACGGGAAAATAAGCAAGCTTCAATCACTAATCACGTATAAAGGAAGAAAACACAAACAAAGCTAAATGAAATTGGATATCCATCAAGCCTCCTACTTTGATAGTGCCAACATCTATCTAAATTGCCTAAGTTCCAGAACATTAAATAAACAACCTTCTATGATCATTTTGATTACAATCTACATTGATCTCAGGGAGAAAATGTTCTAAGCAGCAAACACAAAGAATCTGTTGTTTGTTAATTCTATTTCTCACAGTAACATAGATTATCATTCTGCGCGTATTTTCAAAAGAAAGTCCCACTCTATTCAATAGCATGTTACGTCCTCTGCAAGCAATAAATGAGGAGGCTATACTCCCAAACAAAGCTGCTTAGATTAAACCTCCTTTCACCACTTGGGATCTTAATGGTCAGCCCACTCTTAATAGTGAATCAAATTATATTTGTTTCAAACAGTCTGGACAAAGTTACCACTCCAGAAGAGCTTGAATCCCTTGCCTTCCCATCCCTCCCCCTCTCCTTCCCTCCTCCCACACACCTCTTCAGGCACAAACATTGCCCAAGCCCTCAATTCAGGCCTGACAATGCCCCAAAGGAAAGGGTGAAACTCTCTGAGGCATAGCATCCTGGATTGTAAATATCCTTTAATCTGCCCCCACCAAGCCCTAAGGCAGAGCACACTGGGAACTCCTAAACTGAGCTGACATAGCTCTGAGCTAAAGGCAAGAACGAGTGACAGCTTCAACAGACAAATCAGGTACAACCTTCAGCCTGGGGTGGGATGCAAACCTAATGTAAACAGCTGGCACAGAAAATACTCATATGTTATTGCTATGTTAAAAGCCATTCTCAAGGGAACCTGGCAAAACCAAAGAAAGCCATGAATATTTAATTTATCTGAATTACATCAATTTGTCTACCCACACTGGGGTTTCTTTTGAGGCTTGAAATGTTATACTTTGTGATGGGGGGGCAAAATATATAACCAACCTAAACAATAAATAAAACAACTGAGAGTAACAACATTCTAGGGAAACAATGGGCCATCAGAATGTGATCTAGGCATGCCCCATACTTGTCTCATCCAGCACTTGCCTGAATCCAGCTTATCCTTTTGTCAACCTAAATATTTTTTAAAAAATCAGAAAGAGACGGGGGGGGGAGATTATCCAAAGAATAATGATATGTATTTGGTTGTAGCACAGCAATACTATTTGAATATACAGGCCATATACATGTGCATTTTCAAAGAAACTGACACAAAGGAAAATTTGTGAAGACAAAATGAGGAAGATTAGATCAGATACTCTTTTTTTTTAGGTCTTTTTGAGACAGGGTCTCCCTGTCGCCCCAGCTGTTCTGGAGCTCACTATATAGAACATACTGGCCTTGAACTCACGGATACCTGCCTGCTTCTGACTGCCGAGTGCTCAGATTAAAGGTATATGCCACCACACCCCGCCTAGATCAGATATTTTCAAACAATAATCCTTAGTCACAATGATTAATAACAAGAGTGCCATCAGTCCCATGTTGAACTTGGAAAATAACCATGTTGCAGTGCTTTCTGTATCGGGTTCAGTAGCATCTGCACAAGTTTGTGGTTCTGATAGTCTTGTGTGACAGTTATGCTCAGGCAATCCTGTGTAAGAATCCTTCTTTAATAACCTCTCAGCTTCATTTACTTTTTTTGTTAAATTTTATGTCATCGACTTATTTTTAATTCTGACAGTTTTCCTCCCCACAGGCTTGCCGGTCTGCTCTCTGAAGCTGGATGTACTCCCACCTCCTTCCCTTTCTACCACCAAGCCTCCCTCCTTAAATGGCCTTCTACCTGTTGTGTCTTATTCTTCAAGTCCAGCTTACTTAAAATTCTCCTCCCTGGCGCCCTCGCATGCAGTGGTTTCTGCTGCCTGGAAGCACTCATGGCAACCATCCAGCCATGACTAAAGTTCCTCCTCTTCATTCTTTCGTGTGTGTGGGGGGGGTGGGTGTGTGTCTCTGTGTGTGTATGTGTATATCTTGTCTTTCCATACAGATCGTAAACCCAAAGACAAAGGTTTTTTTCTGCTGCTTAAACTCAACTTTATTGATAAAACACCTGTCTTAGATTAATAAATGCAAATCAATACAAAAGTATAGCTTATTCACGATGTATAATTATTTCACTGTTTAGATAAAGAGTAAAAATATCTCAATCTAGGTAATAAATCAATAAATGTTTTCTTTGTGCAAGCAGTAATATATATTTGGCATCTTTAAAATGGCTCAGTCTAAAGCCAGGATCAATCCCTGCTTATAATCTGTGATATTTATTATTCCTAAATAGCAGCCAAAAGACCTCTTTGCCACATAAGCACAGTGAAAACCAACGAATTTGCCAAACACATTGTTCCCACGTGCAAACTAAAAAAACAAGACTTCAGTATTGCTTGGGAAAGATCTCAAATTACAGTTTGGTTAGTACTTTTAGGACTTTCACTTTCACCACCAGGTCACTGTGATTTGCTAATGCTCTGATTTTCTTAACACATACTCCAGATTCTTTGAATAAGAAAAATAGTGAACTTCTGCTGAATTCTTTCCTGGATGATGCAAGCCCTTCACTTTTTATGTTGTCATTTATATTTTCAAAGAGGGTAAGAATGTTAAGAAGAATCTCTCTATCCCATCCTTTATTAAAGAGGGAAATCAATTCTGATGGTACTTTACAACTGACCAGCTCTCTTGTCATGGCTGGATTTTCAGTAAAGTTGATAATTAGTTTCATAGTCTGTATCTTAGTAAAGTGATTTCCCAGGAATAACAAAGCAAAAAAGTCTGGAAAAGAATAGGAAAGTAAATGTTGGTAATGATTAGTAACGGTCATGTTGGTTAACAGTCTGAGTCCAGCCATTTGTACAGCTGAATCCAAGCGACAGATCATAGTATCATCACACACTTGACTGATATACGTCTTAATCTTACCCTGATTCTCAGAATTAACACTCAAGTTATTAAGGGCATTGTAAGTCTTTTCTCTAATGATGGGATCTTTTGTTTTTATCAGTTTTGCAATAATTGGGACACCACCCAATTCACGTATGGCATTTTGATTAAATGAATATGCTGCATTGTTACCCAGTGTGACCAATGCTACTTCCTGAGTAAAAGGATCATTTGTTCTCTCCAGGATGTTAAGGACCTTCTGCAGGTCAGGAGCACTCAGAATGTCATCAATTTTATAAGGAAAGTTGAACTTGCCCCTGCGTACAGGCCATGCTGAAGCTGGAGCCTTGCTGCTTTTATTTCGGGTCTTTCCCTTGGATTTTCCACGTGCCTTGCTCCCAGCCCTAGATCCACTCTTGGCAGGGTGGCAGCCTCCACCCCTGCCTCCTGGACAAGGCAAACTTGGTGCCAGTGTTCTATTCCCAGAGATGCTACCAACCCTGACCCCTCTGCTTGCCTTTGCACTTGCCTGTGCCTTTAGGATGCTGAAGAGGGCCTTGGCCTTAGCCTCTAGGCCACCTCCACTCTGGGATTCTGAGTGAACTTCCTTCTTTGCAACTGAACTACTCTCAAGCCTCAAGCTCACTTCAGCTTTGGCCTTTGAGTCATCTTGAGGTTTGGTTCCTGCCCCTACCCCAACATTAGTCTTAACTTCTTTTTCAGTCTCGCCCCCAATTTCTGATGTGTCACTACTGGAGGGTTCTTCCTCCTCTTCCTCTTCCTCCTCCTCCAGTTCTTCTTCCTCATCTTCATCATCCCACATTCTCTCATTCTCATCTTTTCCCCAGGTAAGTCTGTACACACAGTAACAAGCACCAGCCCCGATGACCATGCCAGCAGCCACACATCCAGCTTCCCGAGTGCGGCCCATGGTATAGCTGGTCTGAGTCCCTTAACCTGGGCACAGAGCTGGCTTGCTCTGGTCCAGATTACTCCCAGGTCAGGGGCAGAGTCTCCAGCTGTCACAGGCAGGAGCAGCTACAACAGCAGACTCGGTGAAACCTAGGAGAAAAAAAAAAGGAAGATTCCAGATTTTTTACTTCTCTAATTGTGCCTTTGCATGTAAACAGACTGAATCACTTGCCCTTATCATATAAACACACAGTTAGAGGCCTTGGTATCCCAATCACTGCTTCCTTTCCTCCATCTGCAAGCAATTTTGGAAATTTTCCATACACCCAGAATTTCCAACTTCACATTCTACTACCCTTTCCAAGAACATTAAATTGAATATATTTATAAGTTGCCTATGACCCCTACCCTTCCAGATGTCCTAATGCAGGGGAGACCTCACGTAGACCCTCAGAAATCCAAGCAGTTCCTTCTTCCTCTTTCCAAGCTCCCACAGACCTGCATACAAAAGAATACAAAGGTTGGGGCTGAGAATTCAGGGGCCAAATAGATCAAACCCAAGACAGGACATGTATCCATCTTCTGAATTCCTGGGCCTTGTCCATCATTGCAGTGCTTCTCACCTTTCTTACATCACAGGGTTGTGGCTTTGATATTTATTATCTCTCTACCCCTCCTCCTAGGATGATCCTTTCCTGAAACCCACCCTCACACACACACACACACACACACACACACACACACACACACACATCTGTCACTTCTTCCAAAGGTGCCACCACACCCCCTTCCTTATTAAAAAAAAAAAGCAAAGTAGTATCTAGAAGTTATATATACCTGAAATGCATCTTCCCTGGCCTCTGCCACCTCCACCATCTTAAAAGGTACCAAGATAGCCTCCTCACTCTATCGGCCAATGACATCAAATTCCACTGCTTCAAGCAGTCTAGGGTTCCACCTTCACCAAACCTGACAAACTTTGTGCCTAGTGGTCAGGCCAATACCAAGGGCATTGCACCATACAGTATTTGGAATATCATCCTCCCCACCTCCACCCCAGTACTATCTCACAGCTATCCCCCCAGCTAACCACCTCCTTCCTAGTTTCTTATCTACAAACCTTTGTAAAGAGACAGAAAACGGTATGCAGAAAAAAATCTGTACGTCTACTCTACTTCACAGTCACCATTATTGACTACACCAGTGATCCCTAAACAGTGTCATCATTTTCCCTCTGACATACTTGGTTCTGGAAACTTTTCCTCTCCTCCTTTGCTCCTAGGGTCAGACTGGTCTTCAGCAGCAAGATCCACCGACCTGGACACTGGTGACACAGCAGGCAGGAATGGCTCAGCAGATAGAACAGCACTTTAGAGAGACTGAATGCCAGGTTTCCCAAATTCGGGGACCTGGTTATCTGATGGATTTCATGTTTACGTTTCTCACTTTACCCCGCCCGGGTCCCCAGTTGTCCGGACTCCGAAGACACCAGCCCTCGAGCTTTACTGCATCCCTGCACCCCCATCCACCGTGGTCGGCCATTTTCCCAGCAAAAAACCACACCCCTTGAAAGCACAGGAAAGGAGGGAGGGAGGCAGCTTCAGGAAGTTCGGAAAACTCAGCTGTGAAAGACCAACAGATTACTTCTGTCCTCCTCCCCAGCAAAGCCCATCCCCAGTGATAGCCATTTTCCTGTAGGAACTGTTGCAACCTCTTTCTGGGGGCAGGGGGAGAAAGAGGGGGACACGTACACTGCTGGAGAGTCAAAGAGGGTCCCGAGTTGTGGTAAGGTCCTAAGCCATCACCACCCTTCCGCGGGCCGCGGGGCAATCTCGCCTTTACTTCACACTGATATGCAGGAATTCGGTGTCGATAACTCTTTTGCTCCGAAAAGTACCGCGCCCTTTTGAATGACAAGAGCATGACAGAGTCTCACTTCCTAAAGACTCTGGCTTCTGAGATGGATCCGCGCACAGGGCATCAACACCTAATACGCATCCTTCTTAATTCTAGGTCCTGGCATGCCAAAAACTCCCCATCCCCACATCCCCAGTCTGTGATCTCCCCTGGAATCCCGCCCTCCGAGGTCCACCATTTTTGGTTCTAAGAAAGTCCAAGGACAGTGAAAGCGTGTAAAGAAAGCAGGATGTGTCGCTAGCATCTCTGCTCTCTGCTATCCGCACGGCGGAGATCCCCAGGCATCGCCCATCCACTACACAGACCTGCAGGGATTCAGGCAATTTCCTTCTCCTCCTCCTCCTTCCCCCGCAGGCCCGGGGCTCTCCGCAATATCAGAGAGAGTGCCAACAGACCAAACGAAGACCAGGATTAGGAAAACGTCTGCACACGTCGGCTACGGCTCACGTGACAGCCACGTCACCCATGAGATCAGGACCCCAATTACCACTGCCGCCAGCACTGCGACAGGAGGCAGCCTTCCTTTTTCCTCCTCTGCCACATCAAATCCTGCCACTCATTTTCCTATTTGCCAGTTCCAGACACCCCAAGTAGCTTCTGATTGTGATTGGAATTTGTCTTTCTTTGGTTAACACAGAGATGCTGCATTGTCCATTGGCTGTTTCTCCCTTTTTCAGAAATAATTCTGTGTCTTCTTTATCCACACTCAAATGGCTTTTCCCTAAGCCCCCTTCACTTAGGAATACTCAGTATTTCCCCTGCACTCCTATACCAAATGGGGAACAGGCTATCAGAAAAGGAGCTGGGTACTAGAACTGACTTTCTTAAACTTTTCTGTCTCTTTGTTAAAAATCAGCTTTACATTTACAATGAGTATATAAATTTATACTATTTTCATTTGTGTGGAGAAATATTTAAATCAGAGAGGAAAACCCAATGAGTTATATTAATTTCATTATATCTGCATTTATTACACAAGAAAATATTTCTATTGGTCACAGACAAGGAGCAGTTTTTAAAATATACTAACTTGTTTTAAAATCGAAAACTGGAATTTTTACATGATTTTTAAAATACTCTAAGAATAGATAACGAGTTGTTTAATTTTGACCATTTTATGCAAATCATTCACTTACTTTTTTATTCTTTTGGCTCAACTTGCAATTTGGCAAAATAAAAGCAACATAAACAATCCTAACTTACTTGATTAAAGAAAAGCACATATTTAAGCGCCCAAAGTCTTAGCTGATTGTTACATGGAAGTCTTGTGCTTTGGTGGCCTCTCTAAACACCTGCCCATGGATTGGCTTCCACTTTAATAAGGCTGAGACAGCTGGGGTTGAAGGAAGCAGAGATGATCCAATTCTGTTTGCCTTACCAAGAAGTGGGAAATGTGCTGCCTGCCAACATTCCAGAGCCTTTCATTCCCTGTATTCAGACATCTGTCTGTTGTCCAACTCAAAAATACATATATGGATGGGTAAGAAATTAATATCCAGAACACACAAGGAATTCAAACAATTCAGCCATAGGGAAAAATAAGACAACCCAACTTTAAATATGTAAAGGATGTGAACAGACATTTTTACAAAGAAGACATAAAAATAGTCAACCAATTATGTCAAAAAAGAGCTCAACATCACTAATCGTCAAGTAAATGCAAATTAAAACCACAATGAGGTATCATCCATTCTAGTAAAAACGGCTGTCAGCAAAAAGACAGAGATAACAACTGTTGGCAAGGACTTTGAGAAATTGAAATTTGCTACACTCCTCTATTGAGGGAGTATGAACTAGAGCAACTGTTATGGAAAGCCAAACAAAGATTCTTCCAAAACTTCAAAATGCAATTACATATGATCTAGTGATTACAGAGAGAGAGAGAGAGAGAGAGAGAGAGAGAGAGAGAGAGAGAGAGAGATCTCAAAGTACTCGGGTATTCATTGCAACAGTATTCACATTAGCCAAGACGTAGAAACAACTAACAAATGGATAAGAAAATAAAATGCAGACTATACAGTAGAAGTTATTTAAGAAGGAAATCCTGCAATATAAGATGATATGGGTGAATCTTAGAAATATACTAATTGAAGGAAGCTAGTTACAGAAGGATAAAAAATGTGCGATTTTTACCTGTAGAAGGTATCTAAAATAATCAAACTCATAACCCATAGATACAGAGAATAATTTGCCAGGGGTTCGATGGAAGGGAAAATGGGGAATTCCTGTTGAATAGGTAAAACCATTTCAATCATACAAGGTGAATAAGATTTAAAGATCTGCTGAACAACATTGTGTTTAAAATTAACAAAATTGAGAATCATGGATGATGCATCACAGATAATGGTTTATTCAAGGAAATTGTGAAATGATGATCAGAAGACATGTCAAAGTCAGCCAAATGAATGTGAATTTTATATAGTCTAAGTTAAAATAAAATACCTAATATGAATTTAATCATTTTCTCCAAAGTTGCAATTACTTTTCAATTAGCTTATAAGCTATAAGGCCAAATTTTCCTTTATTTCCAATAATTATTATTTGTACATTCCAAAGATGTGATATTTGCTGATGTTTCTTTCTGAAACATACTATTTATAAACACAAAATAATCTGGGTGTGGTGGCACACTCCTTTGATTCCAGCACTTGGGAGGCAGAGGCAGGCAGATCTCTATGAGTTCAAGGCCAGCCTGGTCTACATAGTGAGTTCCAGGCCAGCTGGGGCTACAGGGAGACCCTGCCTCAAAAGACCAAAAAGAGAAAAAAAAAACACACCCACAAAATAACTTTGTATCATTTAGTATATTTTGCTTTAAATTTATTGAATGTTGATCTTAGCATTTCTATTTATATTCTCATGTTGTTGATAATGTTCCTGTTTGCTTATTTTCAGTCTTTCTTTCTGTATTTGTTTTTGTTGTTGTTGCTGTTGTTTTGTTGGTCTTTTTGAGACAGGCCTACCTGTAGCCCCAGCTAGCCTGGAACTGCCTCTGCCTCCTGAGTGCTGGGGTTAAAGCTGTTCGCCATCACACCCAGCTTTTTCTGTGCTTATTTTTATGTGTGTCTTGTAAAGATCATGTAGTTTAGTTCTTTTATAAATCAATACTGAAAGTTTTTGTATTTTAATTTGGGGATTATTCCATGATTTCTTGTTTCATCTTTTAGAGACTTCTTGACATATATTCCCTTTGCCATTTGAAAATCCTACTTTGCAGTGCAATTCTATTAGCAGTTACAAGTAAATTTTTATCAAACATTAACATATTTTCTCCCAGTATTACAGTTTAACCACTATCTATAACAGCCCCTGACCTTCAGTAAAATACAACTTACTAAAATTTGTTTTCATTATTTTAAATTATGTATATGTATGTGTATGGAGGAATATGTGCTGACATCCCCTCGGCCAGAACTCCACTGCCTTGGGGAGACCGTTGTGCACGGGTCCCCATAGCAGAAGGTCGGAGCAAGGAGAGAGACTGGTGGGGGGAGGGGGCCTGGGAGGTGGTGAGTATGACAGGAAGAAAACACCCAGGATGCTGTGTCAGTGGACAGCTCATTTATTATGGCAGAAGAAGAGGTTTATATAAGAAAGTTTCATGGGCAAAGAGGCGGGGTTGGGTTTCTGGTGGGCAGGCAGGTGGGGGGAGGGAGGGGGCTTGTAAGGCTACATGGCCTTTGTCCTGTCCTCCGCCCACATGATCTACAAGAGACCCTGTTAGGATTAAAGGATTGCTTGGGGGTTGTTGGGTAAGAGACAGTGTATCTAGAATGGAGCGGGCCAGTTTCCTGCCATCCTCACTAGGAGGTATCTGGCCTGGCAGCCATGCGCTACATGCCAGGCCCTCCTGACTATCCCAACAGATATGTACATATAAGAGCAGATGCCTGAGTAGGTCAGAGGTGCCAGACCCCCCTGGAGCCCACCAAGTCCAGTTTGTGCTGCCCATATACTCATGGGAGTGGGACCATCCACTAGAGTGTGGTTAACCTACCAAAGCCACACCCTTAAAGAAAATTGACCCTCTTTCCCCAGAAACCATCAACCAACGATAACTCCTCAGCTAGGGGTGGGGACTCATAAGCCATTGCCTCCTCCATGCTAGAATGTTAGCTGACTTGATATTGTGTAGATCTTGTACAGGCCACCACAGCTTCTATGAATTCATCAATGTAATGATCCTGTCATATCCAGAAGACACAGTTTTGCTCCAGCCCTCTCTAATCTCTGGCTCTTATATTCTTTCTCCCCTTGTTCTAAAATAGTCTCTGAGCCTTGGGTTGGGGGAAATTATGATATAGATGTCTATTTGTGGCTGAGCACTCCACAAACTTATTTGCTGCACATTGGCCAATTGTTAATTTCTGTGTTAACAGTAATCCATTGCACAAACTTCTCTGATGAAGTCAAGTTCAACTCTGGGGCCTCTGGGCTCTCTAACCATGGATTCTTGGTCAGATTTAAAGTACCAGGCATGGAGTTCCTCTTATGAAACAGGCCTTAAATCCTATTAGAAAGAGTTACTCCCATAACGTTCATGCTACTATGAACTATGGGCATTTCTTGCCATGCTGGTAAATGCTGTAGCCCACATTGTTCACAGCTGGGTAAGACTGTTGATGAAATTCTTTTCTCCCAGGAGCCTGCACAGCACCTCCCAGTACTATAAAAGCAGGAAGGAAGCTTCCTGGTCAGCATCAACTTGATTTCTCCATATCCTGTAAGCAAAGTGTGTGTTTTCTTACCATCAAGTTTTAGTGGGTAACCAAGAGCAATGGCAATAGCCTGTATTGTTTTGAGGGTCTCTGGGACACCCTTGAACAAAAATTGAGGAGAAAATATCCCACACTTGGCTTTTTGACAAACTATGGCTTACAGGAGGAACATTATCCCTTGGTAGAGTAACTCCAACTAAACTCTTTTACAGAATATATACATATGTATATAGATAAAAATTATAAAGTGTTAGGTTTTCATAAGGTAGAGGATGAATGTGGGAGGGATAACTAACAGTAAGGATCTTTGAAAAAGGCATATGGAGGGAATTTTATCAGGCATTTGTACCTCTTATTTTAACCTATTTCTATTCTCTAGTTTGCTGAAATACAACTCTACTTCACTTTCCCCCTCTCAAGCATGAAAAATATATCAACATACCACAGAGATACCTATATATCCATGTTTATTACTGCACTCTACACAATAACAAGAAAATGGAACCGGCTTAGATGTTCATAAACAGATAGAAAGAAAATGTGGTATGGCCGGGTGTGGTAGCACACAACTTTAATCCCAGAACTCAGGAGGCAGAGGCAGGTGAATCTCTGTAAGAGCAAGGCCAGCCTGGTCTACATAGTGAGTTTCAGGCCAGCTGAGGCTACAGGGGAACCTTGTCTCATAAAAAGAAGAAAATGTAGTATATGT